TTCATTTTTGAGTCCTATAAGTAGACCAGTAAAGTATCATGGATACCAGCATTATCATACATAAGAAATTGGTTAAAATCTTGAGTAAATAGGGAAATAAAAAATGAACTGATTCTAAAAAATCTCCGGTTTGTCACTATGACCTAACCCCATTTTACGATAAGCAATCACTTGATTCACAGTTCACTTAAAGTCGTCATTTTGCTCAGGCAAGTCGCTCAGCTGCATATGCCTTTCAGGCTTCAGTAGGCTAATCAGTATTCAGTACAGTACCTACTGAATGGGAGTGATAGATTGATGGAATAGATTTAACATTGGTAAACCATAAAAAGACCTGAAGGATTAAGGTACATAGATAACATAATTATATATTTTAATTTTTTAACCAGTCACACACTAATCTTTTTAGGAAATTTCTAACATGTAAATGAAATGAGTAGTTTCATAAATTCGAATCTTTAAATTATTCATATTAATAGTAACGCAATTTTAGTCGCCTATCTATCAGGCAGTAAATCATAGTTTGACAATTCGATTTGTTGCTTTTTCTGCTTCCATGTTGTTGAATTCTTTTTCTGTCCACTTACCGAGGACTTCAACACTTACACTCGCCTCACGTCCGGACGGGCAGCATAGGTTGAGCAGGACAAACCTGAGGGCAAAGGCCTTGGTAAATTCGTAAGTCTGAGATGTTGTTCTGTTAGTTCAATCAACTAGTAGACACTGATATTAATTATACCACGTGGTTAAATTTATTCATCTGTGCTTCGCGGAAGAGGGGAAGTTAGCACGACAGAGTTCAAGCTCCATCATACATTGTTCTGGAGATGAGGTAGTGACGGGTGTTTCTGATCGAACGAGGGGCTAATTGGTGAAAGGGCTTCGCAAACCTGAAACAGGGCTTTATTCCATTGTGCCGTGCCGAAAAGAAGACAAGCAAGGCAAGTCTTAATTAGAGTGAAGATAGTGCAGCGTGCGTCAAGTGTGTCAGTTCAGTTTATTTCAGAATTTAGTTTTTCAATATTTGCATGATGCTTGTGTTTCCATTACCTGACGCATATATGTCATGTTATAATATTTTGTTTTTAGGCATGTTTCAATTCTCAAATCCTATTTAATTTTTCCCTATCTAAACGTGTGTCATTCATACCATATATGATATATCCTCCAATGATTCTACTCCCATTCTGTATAATCCGCAGTATGAATTTTACATCGGTACTTCTTGCATCTCCGGCCAATCGGCAGGTCCAGTATTATCCTTGACTAATTGCGTCGCCTCATAGGCAACATTCAAAAATATAATCCCTAGGATGTGTGGTTCATTGAACAATTTCCAACGATTGTGCGCGCCACCATGTCGCAAGCACTGAATACACAAATTTTTCGAGCCGTAACTAGACTATTAGCAGCGAGCGCCATATTCTCACGCAATTCGTGTCGATAGAGTGACAGTAACGCGGCAAAAATTTCGCGAACTCGAAGTTCTATTTATAATTTTTTGGGTAGGCAGAGTGGCAATTAGCCACTTTACTTTAATATTTTACTATAAGCTTTAATAAACTGGCGCTGAAACGTAGAGGCTGAACTTAATAATCGCTCACAAATGCCGACCATGCCTGTGCTTTATCATCGTGCAGCGAACCTCCAGTCTCGCTATATTCCTCGTGCACGTATACCTATAGGTTTATTCATAGCAACTCCCTGGCTCTCCCGCAGATTAGGTCCTAACCCCTACTATCATTAGTCCCGTATACATAGTTCATTAGAAAATAGTGGTATTTATAAATTGTAAGCTATTATTTCTTGCAGTTTCCCGCCTTCACTTATTTGGAGTTTCCACTTTTTTCGTCCGCTCAGAATTTTCCTAATCTCTATTTCTTCGTTATTATTTGATACCATCTGACTCATTGTAAGACCATGACGAGCACAATTATTAAGAACTCGAAATTAAGACTTAATTTAGCAGTATATGAATATATTGCAAAGCTGTTCTTTACTGTATCACGTGATTCACGTTAAATCTGTGCAGTTTTAGTTTTAAACAACATTCATTGCAATCACGTGTAGCGTAGACCAAACTTTTCTTGTTTGAATACGCGCTCGTTAACCTACATGCACTTGTGTTAGAATGGTCAAATTTCGACTTAACTAAGCTCTGCATCTTATCAGCAGCTCAATACAGTGGGTTGTTTCTAAAACTCCCACCCCACGTAAAGGTATCCCTGTTAAAGATAAGGCCAATTTTGACCGACTGCCAATTCCTGTAATGTTCATGACTCCGGAGATTGAATATCGAGTCTTTTGACAATATCTCACACTCGTATCTTGCCATAATAATTGGGGTGTCAACGTCTATAAGACCAATTGTGACCTGTTGCCTATTCTAGACATTTCACAGTCGATGATCCAATCTTGGGGCTCTTAACTTGTAGCGACGCTGCCACCATATCGTTGGCCAAGTATTGGGGGGTTACCCAGTGGTTACAGTTCAGAGTACCAAGATTGGAGCAGAGAGGTGCGTGCTCTGTGCGCCAGTTTCTGGTCACAATTGGCGAGGAGGCCGGGCGGTTAAGAACAGCAGAATTGTAGCAGTGAGTTGCGAGTTCGAGATCGCAAAATGCTGTGAATGTTCTGCGATGTTGAGAATCGGTGACAGCCCTACGGCCTACTAAACGCTGAAACCGCTATTGTTATATATTATATTAACATACAAAGTATATGAAACATCGCTTTCTGCTAACATTTGTTTTTTACTCTCCCTCCAAAGAGGGTGGTGGCACATCCAATTCAAAGATTTTCCACGGCATGGCTATATCTACCGTTTCTGATATTCAATTTTCAACGCTTACATACGTACTCAAGGCGTCTAGGACGCCAGAGGGAAGTCGGTTTCTTTTGGCAGTGACCCGAAACCAGAAATTTCGCCAGCCTCATGTTTTTTTCTGTAGGCAGTTGTGACATTAATGTCAACCAACAGAAATTACTTGAATAAATTATAAAATGCTACGTCATGGAATCAGAAACCATAGAGCAGTGGTTCCCAAAGTGGGCGATATCGCCCCCCTAGGGGCGATGGAAAGATTTTGGGGGGCGGTAAGGAAGAAGAGGGCGTTTGGGGGGCGATAGGGGGGCGGTAGTCCGAAGTCAGAAGTTCGAACGCTTGTTTGACGATTTGTACACAACACGTGCAGCACATGACTCCCAGCGATGGATTTTTTCACCCAGATCTGTTTTTTTAACCTCTCCTGGGTTTACGTCTCGGACAAATTAACGGCCGGGCTCGCGGCCGATCTCACGGTCAATTTTCAATTCAATGTTTAAGTAATATCTCTCAAACTAATGAACTTAACTCGATGAAACTTGGTACACGTATTCATTAGGACCTAACGGTAATGTTAAGCTCGTGAATTTTTTTTAATATTGCCTTCATTTGTTTTTACCATAGTTATATGGCAATACCGGCCGAAATTCACAGTACCGGGTAATCAAGAAATTTTTTCCCAACTATTGAGCAGATTCGAAATTTTGAATTTACAGTCCTAACTACCGAAAGTTAATGTTTAGCTCAAAAAAATTTATTCGATTGTGCCTTTGTTCGCGAGTTTTTTCCATTTCACCTTCATTCGTGATTTAAACAGCAATATGTGCTTAAATTCGCAGTAATCAAGAAATTCCTTCCCAAACTACTGAATGGATTTGAACGAAACTTAGTATTTAAGTACCTAAACTCAGCACCGATGATGTTTAGCTCGCTACAATTTTTTCGTTTCGCATTCGTTTGCGAGTTATACGGCTATATGTATACGGATATACGTAAGCGGCTCTTGGTTAAACCGGCCAGTAGAAAAGCCGGTCGTCCCTCCTATATCTATATAACTCGCGAACGAAAGCAAAATAGAAAAATTATCGAAAGCTAAACATCACCGTTGAGAGGTTAGGTATACAAAGTTTCGTTGAAATCTGTTCAGTAGTTTAGAAGAAATTTCTTGATCGCCGCGAATTTAAGCGACAAATTATCCGGCGATACGGGCCGAATATAAGGAAGTGTGAAATCAAGAATGACTGTGAAATGAAAAAAAAACTCGCAGAAGGAAGGTAAAATCGAAAATTTTTAAAAGACAAAAAAGTCAATGCTTGGTAGTTAGGAATGCATATTCAAAATTTCGTTCAAATCAGTTCCAGTAATTTGGAAGAAATTATTTGATCAATGCGAACTTGGGCCTTTATCGCAATATAACTCACAAATGAAAGTGAAATTTAAATATTTTTACGAGCTAAAAATCAACGTTAGGTTCTGATGAATATATGTTCCGATTTTCCTTGAGCTGCGTTCATTAGTTTGGGAGATATTACTCGATAATTGAATTTGGAGATTGGTCGTGCGACTGGCCACGAGTCCGGCCGTGAATTTGCCCGAGACGTCCTAGGTTTCTAGTGCTGAAACGGTTAAAACAGCTTAAAAACATATTGGTTCACTAAATGGGGTTCTATTTGTGAAATACACATTTGCGTTTAACATTTATATATTAAAATTGCAGCGTACTAAATTTTAAGAAAGAGGCGTATGTTTTATATGTGTCTGTGGGGGGCGCTAGAAGTTCACTAGGGAGCCAAAGGGGGCGCCAGCCTGAAAAAGTTTGGGAACCACTGCCATAGAGGTTAAGATCTTGGCAGACTACGTTGAAGATCAGCAGATCGTCACGTTAAAACAGAACCGTGTACGACAGCTATAATAGAACCGTGTTGACGCTGATTTTTCTCAGAAATAATGGCCAAAACGGTTTAAGGCCAATCAAGGAAAATCAAATGAGCATCATATAGCTTGATGAGCTTATTTCTAAGTGCATTCTTTATATTGCAGTGGTTTTAAATAACATTAATTTGGGTTCACTAAGGGGAAATGACAGATACATGACTCAGTTGGGCCATCTGGCGAGCAGAGGCACGGCCTTGAAAACCCCTTTTGAGTGATTAGAACAATAAGGATAGAAATTATGCAATTTCGAAGGATATATACTTGAATAACTGGAAGCCAAAGTTTTATAGCCAAACCCCAAAATAGTGATCACACGGTTCAGGCAAAATAACACGTTGTCACGACGACACGAAGAGCAAGTTAATAAATGAGGGCAGGAGATATTTAATTTTCACGTCTCTACATTTTTGTTCTTAGTAAGCCATAACTAAAAAAAAGTAGTTTAGAAAAGACTGGAACATATGGCAAAATATCGAATGAGATATGAGCGTTATCAGAGTTGATGGCAATTCACTTGAACGCCACCGTCTACCACGTATGAGCTCCCGTCCCATGCGGGGCACACATTAAATGCTATTTAACTCCGTACATTTCTCTCAACTCGTTCAGAGCAACATTTTGCATTAGAATAAACCGAAAAATGGCTTACAGATATACATTTACAATGTTCTCATAGGTACGTTTATTGTACAAAAAATTGAGAACAATAATGTTTAGAAGAACCTGTCCTTGATTATCACAGTCAAACAACCTATCAGTCATACTTAACGCTATACAAACAAGGCGCAAATTTAACGCTGAGCTTGCTTCGAATAACCTAATGTCACGCGAACAAGAAGATGCATCAAATTAGCGTTCAAAATTTCAAACAAATGCTATATTTGAAATATATGAGCTGAAAGGCACTTCAATTACTTGAAGGATCGAACTAAACAACGATGACCGGCGAATCCAGAGCACACAAAAGAGAGCAATTATGAAGTCCATCTGACAAATCTATTATTATAAGGTTTAATAGATTGAGACATTCTTGGCGACTAGCTATGCAGAACTTTGCTGGCTCTGTTGGTGTAGACTGTAGAGGGACATCCCTGCGCTAAGCGGTCAACAGCGTCTATAGCGATGAACATACTATCTCCAGTGAAATCGAACACTTCACTAAGCATGCTAGTGAAAGCTTCACTACAATATTGGTGCATTCCGTAACGCTAGTTCATAATCTTTCTTAACGCTAAACGGTGTGGAACTCTGAAGTCTTGCTCACACAGGTTATGTCATAATAATGGGCAAAATTCACACGTTCGCAACTCGGGCGTTCTAATTATAAAATTTATAATAGAACTAATTCACCTCACGAATGCAATGCAATGGCATAAGATGACTTAACAACAAATATTTTCACTAATTACAATTTTCGAATAACAAAAAAATTACAAATTAGTCAAATAAAAAGTACTTGACTGAATAAAAACACTAGTAAATTAAATTACTCCTATAGAACAGCCATTAGGGAAAAACAGAATGATTTGATCAATGAAATTAGTTGATAGGCTCCTAAACATAACTGACCGATTAGAGAGCGTTACAGCGCACTGTATCCAAATGCAATCCTTTCACTCAGTAAGCGTGATAGTGAAAGCTTCAGACAACAATCAATACATTATCATAGTGTCATTACCTTTAAAACAAATGGAACCTAAAAATCAAACATAGATAATCAAATCATAACAAGCTGTAAACCACATTAAAATGAAATAAGCATACAAAGACGATACGGGGCTTGACTTATATTGTTAATGCAGTATAATACGATAGTCAGTTCGTTGTTATGTTATCTCAACATTAATAAATCAAATATAAAAGATAAAAACAAGAAGAATACAACAACTTAACAGAGTTAGTAACGCCCAGAATCAGCCTGAGCGCAGGTGCGAATGCCAGGCGAAAGCTCGATGCTCATACGTAAAGCTTATTTACAGCGAATATTATAGCGCCATTACCATCTCGTTTCACAAGACTATATCACAGTCAAGACTTGCAGTTTAAGCTACATGCTCGTCTACTCAAGATGCCTACTGTAATGATTGTGCGTCACAGGAACGAGCTTCATTCTTACTGTAGGTTTAACGTGATTTTTCACGGAACGATTTTGCAAGTTTGACAGCAGTATATATTCTCGTATAGCTTCAGCGTGTGGCAGATTCGTTGAGAAAGTACGAAATGAATTTATACTATACACTCTGGCATGCAAAACCGTCATACGCGTAGTATAAAAGCGTAGTTTCGAGACTAATACGTCTATAGAAGTTTTCACATCCCTGCACAGACAGTTAGGCGTTTACTAACGTAGCGGTCAACTCATCCTAACACGGCCAACCTAACATTATTAGAAAAGCTTCTATATCAGAAAGAAAAATAAACACATGGCGAAGCAACTAAGAATAAAAATGGAAAACTTAGAATGCATAGATGGACCCATTAAGTAGAACTGTTAGATATCTCTCAACATTGAGAAGCGCGACACGAAAAACAATCGAGAAACAACAATATATTATATACGTTATATTTATTCTTAACTAAGATCAACATGAATTGTAACAATATTTATTCACTTCTCCAGATGAATAGTTATCGCTCATGTACACTTTCCAAGTCATAGCAAAAAAAAACTTGCTCAAGACAAAAACTATTCTTACAACTACTTTCTGCTAAATCGAGCCGTTTCTCTGAGCATAAACCGCAGCGGAATAAGACATAATTAAAACTTATTGGTGTAATCATGGCAGGTAATGGGAAAATTAGCAAAATTTAAAGCGCCGAGCAGTCGAGCACAGCATAGATACAAACAATAGAAAAAGGTACAACAATGCGTTCAATTTGATCATAAGGTAGCAATACTCATGGCAGTGCCGTTATAGATTTATTCATTTTTGACATAGTGACGGTTTTGCGCGCTAAGACGAAGTGTGCGCCACGTGCTTGCGATGGTAAAAGCCTTGACTGTAAGAAACTAAATCAAAACCTGAAGCTATTGACAGAAGTCGCTGAGAGAGCTCGATAGATATTTTATTTTCTAACATAAAGTGACCGCAGCAAGGGTTACGGAATAAGCATAGGAATAGAAGAGATGCGTTGGCAATGCTAGCCAGTGAACATAACACGAAGACTCGCGGTAAGCCGCTTTCAAGAGAGCGACAGAAGGTCTGAACGAGAAGCAGATGGCACCTGATGAGACACTCGACTTTCATACCTAAACACGACTTTCATACCAGGGGTTTCTCATAATATTATGATGGATGGGGAAATATCATGAACTTTTTAATTTGATCCATGCATCAAATGAAATTCCCAATCGCTTACTCTTCTTACTCCAAAGTGTCCCCAGAATTTAAACAGTTTGCAGAAACGTGAAATCTTCAATAACATACAAAGCTAGTGCTTGAACCTTATGTCGTGAGTAGTGCCAAAAAGTCATTAATAACGAACGCCTCGTCTGTTGCCTCGTAACTCAACGTAAATCGACCTAAAACCCACGAGCCTTCGGTTCGTTTCAGAAGGTGTCAAGGTTGGCCAGCGCGGTCACCACGGACACGACGGTCTTGTCCAGCCACGTGACCGCCTGAGGGATGACGTATCCCCCGTCGTAGAAGCCGAGATGTCCGCCGTGCTCTGTCTCTATGTACATCGTGTTGGGGTGCCCACCTCCTGGATAAGGTGAAGAGCAGTAGTACGTTTTATAGTGATTCAGAAATTCGTGATAAACTTCGCGCCGAGGGTCTAAATTTCAGCAATAAGATTATTGATAAGGTAATGTTTTTTACAAATGAACAGGTAAGGTAGAGGAACCAATCTGGCAGTAAAATAAATTAAACCACTTCATTGGTTGCGATTTGTATGGATACAGTCAAAAAAATATCAGTGCGATTTGTATGGATCACTGATATTTTTTCACACTAAAAGCCCATTACAAACATTTAAACATAAAATTGTAAGCTCCCTAAATTTTAAGATGCTGTTATCCAATTGCAGCAGAAATTAGTATAACCATACATACTTCAGCATTACTACACTTCAATTAAAGAAATATCCGGTGTTAGAGTTTGAACTGAATGACAAGAACTCACCAACAAAGTTTTCCGGAATGCTCAGCAGCGAGGGATGAACTAAAGGATCGTCCTTCGAGTTGATGAAAATCATAGGCACGTTGATGTTGTGCAAGTAATTGCATGAGCTGTCGCACTTGTACAGCTCATCCACAGACCGGAATCCAAACACACGCCTAGCCAATGAAAATTTTTTAAATAATCTTTCAACACAAGTTGGAGTCAACAAATCACCTGCATGAAATCTAAACATACCTATGGATATTTAACTAAGGCTTACAACACACTATTGCCAAACAGAACAATAAATTTTCTCTAGCAGTTTCTAACGGACCAACTTTTTAATTCTTCCATCACTTTTAGTATGAACAACAGGTGAATGACCGTGGAAAAACTCTTGTCACAAACCAAAGACTAGTGCCACGAACAAACGACTAGTGTTGCAAAGCAAAGTATAGTTAGTTCCACGATCCCAAGATTAGTGCCACGAAACTAAGATTTGTGGCACAATGCCACGAGTATCAAAACGCACCAATGCTTTTCAGAAATTAGTGATTCCTGTTACAAACCTAAGCTTATTGTCACAAAAGAGGAACTAGTTTAATAAAACGAAAACCTGGGTGTCAGATCGAAGACTTGTGTCAAAACCCATCTTTTTCACAAATTAGAGACTCGCTTCACGAGTCTAGAACTGGTTTTTTAAATTCTTGAGAACAAATTTAACACACATTTTCACCCGAAGTGTTGACCATGTGCTCTAATTCCTCTTCAAACAGGCGATAGAGCTCCTGCTTACTGCAAGGTATTGGCTACAGTTCTGTTCTAATGTTATAGGGACTCCTCCTTACCTGGTGTACTGCTCGTCAAGCTCAGGCAGCGTAGCAGCAGTCAACGCCTTCCTTTCATCGATGCCGTAACGCCGCTTCACGTCTTCAGTTAGCAGCACCTGAGATTAATAAACACGCATGTTTGTTAGAACATCAGTTATTGAACTTTCTTTAGGAGACTAAACGAGGACATTTCTAACAAAGAACTGAGGCTACGATCATTAAGAATTTACAAAATGAAAAAATAATTAATAAGAGACTAATACCTACTAACAAATAAATATCAACGGAAGTCCCAGCATTAATATCTCAGAAAAAAAAGATGGGGTAGGTGGGAGGCCAATCGAACCTAAAAACTTGTTTAAGAGGATGCTTATACAAGACCTTGACCACCCATAGACGGAGTAGTGAAGTTTGAGTAATTATACCTACCAAATTACTGACCTACTCATATGTAATAGGCCATCAGATATACCTACAATAAAAAAGGTTCAACAATGAATTCTTTAATTTGGGCTAGAAACAATTTCCCAAGCAATACAAACGAGCACCAGACTTCTGAATTTTGAGGAGTCCTGCTCCCTAGTGAGGGGGAAACACCTGCTTACCAGGACTTCATATACCAACACAACATGTAAACGTAAAAAAAACGGACACTTCAGAATCTAGTGATAGCATAGCAAGAAATGGGGGAAACACCTGCTTACCAGGACTTCATATACCAACACAACATGTAAACGTAAAAAAAACGGACGCTTCAGAATCTAGTGATAGCATAGCAAGAAATAGACTAAGGTGCCTGGTCTTGGATAACAAACCTCTCGGTTCCTGATGATGACACCTCGCATATTCTCAGTCATGGAGAACAAGTAGAGACGAGACATGTTCTGCCAGCCCAGTAGAGCACTCAAAGTCCTGCAACACAACAACCATATAATGCTAACGTAGCAACTCGTCAACAACAACTCTATAAAGTATTAAGGATAAACAATCTAATTGTTCCTAGATCAGTTGACGTGATTTGACGGAACTACGCAACCAATTTTCGAACGAAACTCACTTCATTTACAGGAAGTTGAGAATGGGAATGCTACATGATCTGTTCATTGCCAAGCATGATGTACCTAACGAACACTCGTTACAATTACCATAACAATGCGCATTGTTGTTTTTAAATCACACTGCACTTGAGTGATTTAAACCAATACAATGAACATAGATGATGGTGTTCATTGGTGAACATCGATTGATAGATTTACATAGAAAATGATTGAAATACAAACAGATATGCACTCAAATAAAATGAAGTAAAATAAAATTTCTAAGATTACTCACTTCTGTGCATGATATCCCTGACATATGGATACCCCGCCCAAGATGTTGTCAGGCTTAGGCTTGGATTCACCAAGATACTTTGATACAATATTACCACCCATACTGAAGCCTACAAGCAGCAGCTTGGACTGAGGGAATGATTCCAGGAAACGAGTGATCATCAGGCGGAAGTCTCCAGTTTCACCTATGAAAAATAATGCAGTCATTGAAGGGAAATCTTTGAAGAGGAAATACAAATTTGAGAATAATTCCCTGGAAAAAAATGAACCATGCAAGACAACTAACAAGAAATTAAAATACATGAATTTTTAATGGAATAAATATTAGCCATCAGATGGCACTCAAGCCAAGGTGTATTATCACAACCCACCATATCGAAAGACTCTGGGGCTGGTGACTTTGACATGCGGTAGCACACCAATGTGGTTCAAGACAATGCATCGGAAGCCTTGTGATGATGCCAGAGACACCAGAGAACGGACGTATAGAGACTCGCTGCTGTTGGCTATGCCAGGGCAGATGGCAATGGTGTAAACCTCTGAAAAAAAGTTTCAATGCATTGAGCTAATGAATAAGTGAAAAACAACAATTTTAAAATTTTTTTTCTCAGAAATACCAACATTAGAAATTAGGTTTACAAATCATTGATTGAGGAATTGAAAAATCAGTAGGTACCTAATTAAAATATATACATAATCTGAGTAAATTTGTTTCAAGCAAGTAAAATAAATATAGAAGAAGCAATTTACTATATGACAAAAACACAGTATTTAGAATGAACAAAAAATACATAAATAAAATTAGGATGAATTAAAAGAAAAAAGGATGAAGCAACTCAATTAATGATATGATATTAAATTCAAAATTTCAAAGGCTTGATTCTAAGTTATTAATCATACACATGATTCAGTTGACATTTTTTAAATCATGAGTAAACAAACCTGGAAACTGACTAGCTGCTGTTGGCTCATACACATCCCAGGTGACAGTTGCTCCATCTTCCGCCCGTGCAGCAAAGCGACGAGCTTGTATGCTTGGGCAGTAGGTGCGTCCTACAGTTGCATGGATGATGGTCTGCACATGGCCACTGCGACCCCACAAGCGGATGGGACTGAAGCTATAAATGGTAATTTGTTACATAATGCTGAACTATTTCAATGAGAACTGAAGCATTGGACAGTAAAAATATGACAACAGCAAACAGAAAGTAACACAGCTTTTGAAGCAGAATAATTTATCTCATAACACGATGGACAGGTAAGTGAAAGAAAACATCAATGATGGTTTTGCACCAGAGATCCATGCTTTGTCTACACTGCACATTTGGCCAATGAAATCCAATGCAGCTTCAAGAGGTTTGACAGCTAGGCCAAAATACAAAGCTAGTGAACACCAATAAGGTATAAAGTGAGGTCTCAGCAGTCAGCACAATGCATTTAGTTTTTTTTCATCTAAGTTGAGAAAAAAGGATTGTGAAAGCTTCTGTCAAGATTAGTGATGAAAATTACACCAATTTTCAACTTGCAGTGGCAAATTGAGTATGAAGTAATATGGCAAAGTAAGGTGAACTAGTTGCTGCTCTGGTAAATGAACTCATTAGCCTTGGAAGTAAATACTTTGGAGAAACACTCTGAAAGGGGTGAATACTTTGGGGGGAAAGGTCAACAAAAAACTCCCTTGTTTGCCACCATGCTTGAACTGGAATTACTGGAACCCTCCTATCATTTTGAAAGCTAAAACATTTCATTCATGAAAGTGGTATCAATCTATGTACAACCAATGATTGATCAACAAAACTTCAAATTGAACCAAAATATTTAACAATAGAGAAAATTAAAAAAAAGTTTGATTTCCTAATTATTGCAGCTGCCTGCTGCTATGCTGCAAAAATACATTTACCATCAAATTGTCAAAGCCACATTGGTTGCCACTTAGCAGTTAGTCCAAGGTGGCATTACAAATGAGCTCCATTGTGGAATTCTAGATACCGTAGGTAATATATTCTCACATTTACATAAGAAAATAGATCAAAAAGTCTACCATGTTACACCTTCCATTGCAGTGACAATTGATACACTGAGCTCATCAGAAACTGCCTTGCTTCCGATATCGTACAGGAATCTAAATCAGATACCATGTTGATGACACCTCCCTCAATTACATTCAATAGTCATTTATTGGTATCTGACAAATTTTTGCAATGAATACCTATGCTCTTAAAATATAAACAAAATTGTGACAACTTTTGCATAAAATTCTTACAATTTCACCAATACAAACAAAGTCATTGAAACCACTAAAAATGATGGGATAAACTGCAAATCTTTCACAGCATATGGATTACATTGTGCTGCCATGTAAACATTTTACAAGATGGTGTCACACAACTTGTTTTGGTCATGTCAAGTTTTATTTAACAATAAATACATTTGAGCCACATTCCACACTGAGATTTAATGATGTTAAGTTGTTTCAAATTCAAACATCTATTGACATGCATCCAGATATGATTTTTTTGTGTTATTGCCCTATTATGTCCATATTGTCTTAATAACATCACTTCAAATTCTGAATGATTTTGTCTCCCATTCCAAGTTTCTGAATGTCTCCTGTCTTTTAGAAAATGATAAATAAATCATTGAGCACTTAGGCATGAACCATGAGGTGTATTAAATAATTAAATTTGATTTAATACAATTTAATTTCTAATTTAAAAATGTTAATACAAATTTTTAATTAATTTAACAATTAATTAATCCCTCTTATTATTATCCTCTCTACCCTAACTAAAATTTTTGGCTCAAAAAATTGGTGGAGGCAGATTGAAAAAAATATATGAACTTCATTTTTAGCATTACAGTACCGTAGTCAAATTTAATTTAGTGTGCTCCTTCCAAAAGAGGCGGGATGCCCTCATTGCCCTGGACCAATGCACTACAGTGCTCCAGGGCAGGCTAAGTCCTATTTTTTTCTGAAATATTTTGGCTCTAATATCATACAATTTCAGTAGGTATGAAATCTTGTGGCTCTAATGTCATGTATTTTTGTTTGATCAAAAACATGTGGTTAGTACTTGGCAAACATGTCATTTCAACATCCAAAATGTTTTCTTGAACATTGCGTAGTTGCAGTCTTGTCAGAGCAGTCAGATTGCAATATCACGTGTTCAGTTGCAACTTAAGTGAAGACAAATGTTGGTGTTACTGTTTGATGACTGTTTCAAGGATAAAATTGGAGATTTGGGGTAACACGTGCACGGGATTTTGAAAATAAGTTTGCGGCTGATAAATACCAAAATATGAAATTCACAGCTCAAAGAAATGGAATCACACCTGGGCCTGGCCCTGGCATTCTGGCAAACCCATAAAACCACGGCTCAAAAAATCCAGTCACGCTTGACAAGTAAGGTAAGGTAAATACGGTATATTGCAACATCGTGGGTAATTCCAACACTTCAACTTTTTTCCTTTATAGGTATTAAGCTTTTTCTTAGCTCCACGCATTCGTTGATAGTTGAAATAGTGACGTCATATTATTGCGTGCCATACTATTGTCAAAACACTAGGTCTGGGCTGTCTGGCACTCTGGCTGGAAAATGTTGAGATCCAAACTCCAAAGAGAGACAGTGCATGTTACCCAGTGAGAATGTCAAAAAGCATTACAAAGTTGATAGTTGACCTTGCTCTACTAAATAGTGATAAACTGTTTGCGTAGAAAGAATATTATGGTTCAGGGTGGAATTCTAGAAATGGAGGTTCACTTATAAAAAAGCTTTCCACCCAGGGTGGAATGCTTTCCTTAGATACAGTGCTCTGCCAGGTGACTGACTATAAATGAAAATGAAGATCAAAAGTGGACAAACTAATTCAGTTGTATAGTACCTCAGATTTGTTATAAAATTGTTTGAATGTCTCTTGTTTGATAGATATTCTCTATTTTTCTTTTATTTAATTGATGTTTTGAAAATTTTCCAGGCTTTTTGTTTGTAATGATCAAGTTTAAGTTAAGTATTTAGTTAACCAGTACTGTAGTACATATACCATATTTGGGGGCGGGGCTTATGGGCACAACCAATCACAGCTGGAAAGCATCCCCATCAACCAATCACAGCTTGAAAGCATCCCCAGCAACCAATCACAGCTAGAAAGCAGATAACATTACAACTCCATTAACCAATCACAGCTGGAAAGCTGGAAGGGGCTAAAATCACAATCCCATAAACCAATCACAGTTGAAAAGTGATAGGATAGGTATAATGTATATAATAAAATGGACTGGAAGTAGAAAGTTCCTGTACTTTCCAACCTTTCAGGTCCTGCTTTCCAATATGCTATGTGTACTGGTTAATTTAATATCCCTCTAGAATTCCACACTGTAATATGGTTTGAGACTTTTAAATAAGTCAGTGAATATATTAGGAATCCTTTAAGTATACCTGCTTGTAAAGTTGTATTTGCTGATTTCAAGTGGATGAAGTGGTAAATAAATTAATAGATGAATAACTTAATAAGTTAAGAGATGGTTTTAGGCAAATAAAAACTAATTACAACACAGCTTGGAATTAGACACACTTTATCATAATGCCTCTGTTCTGTTCTGTCAGTACTCAGTATAACTTTGATGGTAGATTGATAGCATGCCAACTCATGCCAAGCCTGGTAGGTAGGTAGGCGGCATAGTGACAAAGCAGAGAGTTTTTTAGACTCTCCCTCAAGTTCATTTTTGAGTCCTATAAGTAGACAAGTAAAGCATAGTGGCAAAGCAGAGAGTTTTTTAGACTCTCCCTCAAGTTCATTTTTGAGTCTTATAAGTAGACCAATAAAGTATCATGGATACCAGCATTATCATACTTAAGAAATTGGTTTAAATCTTGAGTTAATGAGGAAATTAAAAATGAACTGATTCCAAAAAAGCTCTGGTTTGCCACTATGGTAGGCGGCATACTGGCATAGGCCTAGTACTCAGCAGTCAGCCTTGGTAGTTGGTACTGTAGTACCTGATTTCACTAACTTGAAATATGAATCATTATATAATACAGTACTTAGTACTAACAGTTAAACAGTAGTACTAGTAACAGACTTTCCAGTTAAAAATTAATAGATAATTCAAATTCTTTAGTCATACTCATAATACTACTCATAGCCCTAGTCATACTCATAGGCTAAGACCAATTTAAACTTTTTTGGGAATCACACCAATGCGAATTTGATTTTACAAATTAACTAAAGATTAAAAATCAACAAAGGATCTATTTCCAGACTCCAGTTGGCATTAGATTATTATAATTAGGGAAGTGTCAACTGTCAAGTGACCCGATAAATCGATCAGCATACTCACGTTTCAAGCAGAAGTGGGCAATATTTTAATATTATTTCTTGGAACTTCGGATCGCTACATACAATTTTGGGCGGTCTGGGTGGGCTTGTCAAATTTAGAAACTTGATTAATGAGAATATCAAAAGAAAAATAGCGAAAATGACAATCGCGGACATCCTGCTTTCCCTTGAGTCTGGCGTACAGTGATCACGACACTAGGACAGCACGCGAACACGTACAGACGTACACAGCTGCTGAAAATGCTCTAAACGCGCATACACTGCACTCCCTCTCTTCTGATACAAACTCACTTATGAATCATACTCATTACTCACGGCTGACTGCTGTCAGCCGATGAAATGTAAATTATGAAATGAGAACGCCCAGAGATTATCTCTGATTCAGAAGTATCTGTTAAAAAGTAATGAACCAGGTTTAAAGAATATTTTTTATAATATGATATATATTGTATAATATAATAGCGGTTTCAGCGTTTATTAGGCCGTACACTGTTAAAAAAATTACCGTTAAATGGTATTACCGGCGTTTCAGTGGCCGGTCGGCACGTGAAAAGAAACCCCGTGTCGCCGTTTTTATTCTAATTTAACACTATAAATCCGTACAACATCTGATAAAAACGGCGAAACAGTTGATTTTCACAAGGCGACCGGCCACTAGAACGCCAGTGGTACCGTTTTTTCTAACAGTGTAGGCCTGTAGCCGATTCTTTAACATCGCAGAACATCGAACATCCACAGCTTGTTGCGAGTCTCGAACACGCAACTCGATGCTGCATTTTTTGCTCCTTGCCGATTCTGACCAGAAACTGGCGCACAGAGCTGGGATCGAACCCGCGCCTCCCTGCTCCAATCTTGGTACGGTACTCAGCTGAACTTTAACCACTGGGCCACCCTGCCTGCGTTATTGCAATAATTTTGAAATAGCAAGCCATTTATTATGCTACTGCAAATATGAGTTATATAATAATATTAAAAAGTCTTGAATTTTGTACGTTCCTAACTGCAGCACAAAAATTCTTGCATTTCTTAGATCCGGCCGTAAATTTGTCCGAGACGTTTTCTTAAGAGATGTGAATAAAAATTAATATACGCTTTTAAACCTTAATACCAAGGTTAGTCAATCAAAGTATTTTCCCGTGCTGGGGTTCTATATTTCCCAAATTATTTTTTCCGTTATGTGCGTGCTACCTGCTCAAATCAGTCTCTTATAGATTTGGACCTTGGTTGAACTAAATTCTAGTTCAACCATGAGTTTGGCCATTGTTGAACTAATGCAGATTTGGTCCGGCTTATCAAACTACATCGGAATGTTGGACCATTAAAAATAACTCGAGCATCATGGCTTGAATGTTAAAAAACTCATAACTCAAATAAGGTAACAGCGTATTTCATGTGGATTTTTTGTCGAGATAATCCTCACCTGATGTCCTAGTTCAAATATTTGACAATAATAAATTGGGGTTTCCTACGCGATGGGAATTATTGTTCACGCGGAAAGCATCTCATTTTTTTTTCAACGGTTGAGTAAACCAAACACTCGTAGCCTATTCAATATTCGCGTTGGTTTCACCCGTGAGAATTATGGTAAATATCATGAGGTTTAGGTTCGAGGAAGGACCACTTAAGTTTTACTATATCATGATCGGAGAAACGCCCCGTTGACTTTATTTTATAAGGTTGGGAAAAGATCATTCACTTTCACTTTATAATGTTGAAGATAGGATCAGACGTTTGGCAATCTACTAGGTTCAAGAAGGGACCAGTTACTTTCTTTTAAATGTATGAGTACAAACTAATTACAGATCTCCGCGATCTTGCACACAAGTGCCTCCATGATTCAGAAACATAAAATAAAATTTATATTGATTTTATTACATAATCATAAAGAATTTTCATGTAAATATCTAAATTATTCAACAAATAGGACTGTGAAAATATGAATGATAACAAAATAAAACTAGAACATATTCATACATTTTTTCAGCGAAATATTCTTATACATTTATTAAAGTAGAAGTACGTATTTCAACCCTGGGAAGAGCAATGAACGAAATCGATTCAGAATCAACGTTACCAAGATTACAATTGGCAACTATCATTGTTAATGAGTAACGAAATGGTACCTATCACAGTATTGCAGCCATGTACTACGTACCTCATTGCAGCAAAACTACAAATGCAACTGCACGTTTGTCATAGTAATATCGGCGTTGCTGAATAGGCAGGGTTGCCCTAAAGCCGATTCTTATACTGTTCTTAACTTCTCTCACGCAGATCTGGAGAATGGCATTTTAACCAGTTCTATTACTTAATACAAGTTGATCAACAGTGTTATAGTCAATCTAAACCCCAAATGTACATATATTATTCTCCAAAATTTATTTTCACAAGTAATAAATATTTTACATAAACCTTTTTTATTTACAATTTTATTTTGTAATTATTTTCATACATAAACCCTCTTCCTGAAAGAGTCCCAAACATCTTCCGAAACTTTCATTTATTCATAACTCTCATTTAACATATCGTGTACAAATTATTCATTCAGTAGTATAGTATAGTATCTTCGGCATTGAAGAATAGGCCTGGATAGGCCTGTCGCCGATTCTTGTACTTTTCATGACTAGACTGGCCTCTTGATCAAATCTTTTCAACGGACGGTAGATTTAAAATCGCTTCTAGATAGTGAAATTTCCGCTGTGATAATTCATTGAACACACACACCACGAAGGCTGTTGTCCGATGCGTGCACCGCATCGTCTCTGTGAGGTCTCCTGACGACGCAGGAGACGACGGCCACTAACGTGCCCGCCGTGAGCGCCGCGGCCGCCATGATGGCCCACGACGCTCGGGTGCCGTACGTCTGCACCACGGCGGTGCCCACGCCCGCGCCGCTCAGCTTGCCTGTTTATGAGGAAATGAGTTTAGTTCATCGATTATTAAAGATGAAGATACTTGTGATTAAAGATATCCATAACTGATTAGGAATATAAAGAGAGAATGTAGAGTATACTATAAAAGTAATAAAATATTTAAATACAAGTTCGAAGTGCAAGATTATATACAATTATTTCAAGATGCTGACTGCTTCAAGATTTAAATTGCATAAAAACAATAAACTAGGAAAACTTTATTTTTCTGAAGCTTTTTTCTATTGAAGGTTGTCAAGCTCTCACAAAATTTTTCTCTGTTGTGATGACATCATTTCAAACATCTAAATAATCTGCTCACGAAGGTCCAAATCGATCATAAATTTCGGCGATGATAAGGTTTGCACGAGATTGCTCTATGCCACCAAATTGCACTGTGTCAATAAATGTCGCCAGATGACAACAATAAACTAAATTTTTAGCATCTGCAATGACGATATACGACAACCGCATCATATAGTTCCGAATCACAGAATGAAATGGTTACGATGTGGTTCACAGAAAATGAACCACATCGTTCATTTTCACAGAACAGCATTTTGTGATGTTCGACCATAGTTCGTTCCTGTCGGTGAGTCTGAATTTTTATTATTAGTGAAACATGAGTTCAAATAGTCACATGGAAAAGTCTAGTACCGAGGCCCATGTAAACGGTGCCAAGCAGGCCCCTCATGGAGGCGAGGGCCTCACAAGGGACGAGTGCAGTGAGGCGCATCGAGGCCACGGCCATGAAGAGGCCTGTGGCCACAGAGTCGAGGGTCTCAAGGACCAGCGCGTAGACCGGAGACTGGAGGAGGTACAGACCTGCGGTGAGGTACAGACTGTATAACATTAATGCCGTTAATTAGGATGTTGTAGTCAATATATTTGTGACTTGGTTACATGCATGCACTTAGTGACGGGGATAAATGTTACATCTGGGTTCTGTCTTGCAATTTTGTCCAACAAAATTTATGTACCGACCGATAGTCACCAAGTGATCGCATTAAGTATCGCATGATAATGAGTACTTACCCATCTTCCGTATATAATATTCATATCAATTACCTATGCTAGTAATATAATGTGCGCGAATTCCAAAGTTTATGTGTTATTGCTTTTTTAGAATATTTCTCGAGCATATTAGTAACTTATCTACGTGTTGTAACTTGTTTTTTTTATACTTGTTAACATCATTATCTTCTACATTAAAAACATCAATATGCTCGTTTTACTTTTAAAATTAATATGATCTACATTAATAAAATTGTTATCCTTACCCAAAAACTTGGCGCTGAAGCAGAAGAAGCCAGCAACCATGAGGACAGATTCTCCGAGGCACGAAATGAGGCCAGAGAGGCAGAACAAGAGGAGGGCCTCAATGCTGCCTCCCACGGTCACCGTCGCCCCCAGCAGGGCCCCCGACGCCCCCAAGTCATGCAGGTAGCGGTACACGAACGCCTCGCAGTAGCCCAACTACAGACCTGGCACCAGCAGGGACTACAGACCTGGCACCAGCAGGGACTACAGACCTGGCACCAGCAGGGACTACAGACCTGGTACCAGCAGGAACTACAGACCTGGTAGCAGCTGGGACTCAATACTAATCGTGTTAATGTTATTCTGCCAGCTGATCACTCATGACTACTTAAAGTGGAAAAATCAATCGCAAAAAACAAGATTATGAGCCCCTGAGACCGGCCGAGCAAATTGAAAAATAAATCTTTTACGCTCTCTTTAGCTGTTAAGTGTTATAATTGCGTAGTTCAATTAGGAGGTTTTGAGGTATACTGAAAAGTGAATATATGTTACTTCAGCTGAAGTGTGAAGTGCATTGCCTTCCGTTATTATTATAGAATTCATTGGGACAATGATAAATGGTGGTAATGCGATCTAACGTATGAGTTGAAAACGGCCCAAATGCATTCAATACTTCCGCCATATTTAGTGAGTCAGAGGCTCCTTATAACTGAGGCCACGATGAAAGCCCAAAAAGCTAAATATGAAAACATACATACAATTACGCGAGAAGAAAAAGTCATTCAAATAAATGCATCCTAAAACGCCTCACGAAGGGACTAGTTCAAACATGTGTAGAATCACTTCCAAGCTAAATTAATATCGAGAAATGCCTCCTAAAAAGACAACTCAAAGACACAATCAGTTTCTCGCTACGAGTAATTTCAAGAAATACCTCCTAGAAAGACCTCACAGAGGAGGGCGGCGAGGGGCAGGTTGGAGACGATGACTGATGTAAGACCGGCGAGGTGCGGACCGGCGGACCGTTTGAAGCTGATGTCGAGGCGGGAGAGTAGGGCGCTCGACAGCAACATCAGACAGCTCGACGTGTACAGCGTGGCTCTGCGTGATTAATTATCACATAAGTAGATATTAAATGCAGAAGAAATAAAGAAAACTGCTAAGTCTGTACAAGTTGAGCGAGCCAGAATGCAATATTTAAACGAGAAAATTTAGGAGGTAGCGCCCTTCTTAACCTTCTTCAACAACCCGACATCAGGCCGGTTGACGCGTACAGCGTAGATCTGTCTGGGTCTGTACAGCGTGGATCGGCGAAACGAACACTGCCGTCAATATCGAGGGTAGATGAATAAAACTGTGAAGCCCACTACAGAAGTCAGAAATCAAATTATATACGGGGAAAGTTAATGAATTAACGTAGCCCGTAATTACGCGTATGGCGGTCTTTCTACAATAAAGACCGAAGGACATTACATATCAAAACTACAATGCCCAAACAAATGAAACACTCAAAGGTGAATAGTAAAAACTTTTTTCTGAAAACTTGCCAGTTTGTCTGTCATAATGAATATTATGATGATGTTTATTAATTGATTGCGAGCAATGTGCAATAGGTTGCTGATGTCATATTCATTTTACTTTTAAAGCTAGGCTGAAAATTAAACATTCGTTCTGCAAAAATTTAATGGTAAAGTTTATCAAAAGGTTATTCCAGTACTTAAGCGAGAAAAAGTCTGTTTTTGACACGAATCTTCTGTTCGGGACATTCACTTTCACTGGCTGGCGCGGTTAACACAATTTGGTCGCGAAAGACGAAACGAATCACGAGCACATAATGACAATAAAAGCACCGAGATCACCATAGTGGAGATACAAGCACCTGTAAATGCAGATAAAAGTACCTGTAGCTGGAGGTTCCTTTGTCAGGAGAGCTGGTCCAGTCGACGAGAGCGCCACCCAGCGGGGCCGAGACTGTAGCGGCGATGGAGCCGAAACATCGCTGCTGTCCGTAGTCCACCTCGCGTTCTGAGACTTGAGCGAGCACTGCGCTCTCGAACATTGAGATGCTGGCGCTGTTCAACAACCTACGGGGAAACGTCGTAAAGACGGAATAAATGTTTCAATCCACAGGCATTATATTGATCCCAACGATTATATTTCATAAATTAATAAATCTAAGGGCATTTCCTTGATATTAAATATTACTAATTATTAAGAATTAATGTTGGGACTCGAAAAGACTGGCGAGAAATTAAACTAAATGTTCAAGTAAAAGCATTTGAGTTACGTTTGGCCCATATCGATTTCGAGTAGCTGATAAATGAAGAACGGTACTGATAAATCAACCGTAAAGCTGATAAATGAAGAACGGTACTTTAATCAACCCTTGACGATAGTCTACTACTAACCATACGCATCCAAGTGGAAAAATAGTAAAGTGATAGTCCACGAAAAATGCGGGAGCCAATAGTTTACATTTTACAACAAATTTCAACGTCATAATTTCAGAACATGTATCCTAACGCCGCTATAATACGAAAGCGTTTATCTTGAGAGAATTGAGTTAGGGTGAATACGTGGATTTCAACGCCGAAAATGACGTGTTTTAACCAAGAGTGCAAATTTATCTTGAAAATTTTGCAAATTTATGTTGAAAAGTGCAAGAAATTAGAGTTAAAACCTGACAGTTTTCTATACATTTGCTTAGGAATGTCAAGTAAATCAAATAACTAATTATTCGATTAAATAACTGAGGATTATTTTTATTTACAATATCACAATAACTTACATCTCTTGTACAACAAGAGATGTTCAATCCTTAAAGCGAATGGCTTGGCTAAATTTTTAGTTTCAGTGAATTTGACGAGAAAAAATGTACAATGAACAAACACTGTAGGTGGCTTTTACTGCATGTGGGTTGATAAGGAGAAGAAATGAAATCTTTGGAAGCTCAAGTGAGCGAAATACTTATTAAATCTCTTTATTAAAGCTCAGCAAAATAATTTGTTATTCAAATTTAAAAAATGAAGCTCATGCTATAGCCTAACTATAATGCCTGACGTCAAGAGTTCAATGATTATGGGAAAAAAGTTGTAGATCGTTCCAATAGCACTTTTAAAGGTTTTATTATTAAGGCAATAAATATTGGATATCAGAAGAAAAACTTGGTCCTATTGCTATCGAAAATTAAGATTGAGATGCTTGATGGTATTTCAAGTTATGACGGCCATATTTGCCGTGGAATGGAGGACACGAGACAACTGCAGTCTTCCTGTCCAATACTCGGGCAAGCAGCGCTCTATTGCTCACAAATCGACGTCGGCAAAGTAAATTGGACAACTCATGATGAATAACATCGCTGCTAAAACAGTACGCCATGATCTTAATGCCAATCGCTAATGCCATTGTGGTGCCAACAATACGAGTGATAATTATTTTGCATGCAGTGTATCATAGTTAAGTTGTTTAATCACAGAGTTTTATATGCTATTGTATTTAATGATTCACGTGTAAACTCACATAAAGCTCGCATGAAGAACAAGGTAGCTCCAGAACGTTATTGCCTTGCTGCTGCCTTCATCACCGTTCGTCTCGTTGGTCTTATCTGCCACGATAATTTGCTCTTCAGAAACACATTCAGGAGCATTGAACGACCTGCCCGAAGTATCGCGCACGTCAGCTCCTTCTTCTTTTCTGTCTCCTCCTTGCTCTTCTCGGCCTGATTTTGGTTCTTCTCTTCCACGTACTTCTGTTTCTAAGCTTCCTGCTCGCGTGTTTTGTTCATATGAGCTGTCACGATTTATGTTTTCGTCGTGGGCTCGCATTTCACGCTCAGTAATTTCATAAAAAGAAATATTGACGTTGGCGTAGACTTTTGTTTTGTCTTGCAGCAACAATATGAGAGTTTGGTTCTGCCTGCTCTCATGGCAGTTGCTCGGTGTGTCAGAAGCTTCGGTTGTGCCTAGCAAATCGATTCCTGATATTTCGAGTCCTGCAGTTTCGTGCGCTACGGCGCTAACCGCTTGGAAATTCATCGCGTTTCTGCCAAAAATTTGAGTTGTGTTATCGTTAGCGTTCAGTTCAAAACAGCGGCATAATTTTACTGAAGTGTTACTGACGTTAAGTGAGGAGACATTCGGTGTTTGGATGGGAGGAACCAGGGTGAAGGAGAAGGCCACAACGCCGTTAAGCAAGGCAGTGGCAGCCAGCAGCCGCTGTGGGGCGGGGGTTACATCCAATCAAAATCCAAAACATGTGTTATTATTAATGCATTAGTGTTAGTAACAACTCTCATAAGCGTTGTTTATATTAGTTATGTTATAGATATTGTGCATCCGGTGAAATTATCCGTCCAAGTTAGTGACCTGAAGGCAGCCAAAAAGGCAGAAGGAGGATACATTCTGTGTTGAAATTATCGCTTAACTAACTATATGTTACTACTGATGACAAGTAACAATAATGTGCGATTATTCCTTCTCTGATACTGACATAATAGCTCCCACTTATGACTCAAATTTATAGTTTAAGTAAAATAAATAACGGAAAAACATATTTAACAAATTTCGAACAGCAGTTACATAATAAGCTTGAATAACGAATTGGTCATTATGAAAATTTTACGGTATATCAGTGATACATTTAATGCCCATCACAAGTAATATTCAGATAACAAAATAAAATAAAATTTTAAGTCAGTACTCACTGCAGTGAGTGACAGAGAGCGCATTTTCTCGTCGACGAAAACGTGAAGTCACGGACGGACAGACAGACAGACGGACAGACGGACGGACGGACATGGCGAGCACAACAGCGCCTTTTTTCCATAAATGAGAAATGCGCTAAAAATTGTTAGTTAAGAATATAAAATATAATGATCCGAGACGTACCCTGAAGTCGCCCATAGCATCGGCCCAGACGCCGGCGGTGAGAGGCCCCAGGATGATCATACACGACCCCACGACGCTCATCACCCCCGTGTCCCCGTCACTGAGCCCCAGCGTCTTCTGGTACGGCCCCAGCTGCACCCACACCACCACCACGCCTGTGGGTCATCACCACCACACTTGTGCCACGTCACACGACACTGAGGTCACTATAACGTTAGTGTCACATCATGACCATACATGTAATGCACCACAATCACCACTGCATTACATCATCATCACACATGCCATCCTTTCTTCGATTACGCCAGGATCCAAATTTGAATCGTATAGTATAATATTCACACGTGATTTCACCGTTTCAAATTCAATATCTCCTTATTTAACTTACGCTGCTATACCTACGTGGTGCTACCTTTCTATTTCATTTCTGTACTAACATTGCGATAAAAATTCTACAACGAACGATCTTCGATTGGTAAACAAAACTGTTCCCTTCAGCAAAACAGCTGCTGTTCATTAAAGAAATTACAGTTGCGACAATAATATCAAAATACTTTCCATCGAACATTCCTGTAATTGATTTCACATTTTTCGACGACAATGCAATGAGAGGCGAGAAGCTTGAGCTGAACATCGTAAGAGCGACAACCAGACTTTTACTGCAAGAAATTACAAACATTCATGTTTTTCGATGCGATTTATTGAATATTGTAGAGATTAGACTCAATATACCATGCCGATAGAGATATTAAATCAGAGTTTAATAGCAATGAATGAATACTTGTCGGAAGATGTTATTTAAATCATTTTGATAATTATAAATAATGCCATTTTATTATCAATTTTGACTGACTGCTAAGACGTGATGAAGCAGCAAATGAGGAAGTGAGCGATCATGAATGAGGAATGGAATGAGGAACAAAAGAAGGGAAGAGTGAAGTTTAGGATGAATAAATAGAGAAATAAAATGAAAGATAAATTGAGGAATGATTTATGGAATGAAGGAGGTTGTGTAGTGGAAGATAAATCGAGGGACGATGGGACTGATGACAAAAATGACCAAGTAATGGACATGCAAGTCCACCCAGAAAAAAAATTGTGAGCGAGACAACTTCTATCCGGGAGCGGCAGACATGCAAGTCGTCAGATCTGAGTGCAGGATTTGTCAAGATTTGTTGGATTTGAGACCCAAAAAACGAGGCTGGGCATCTTACAGAGATAAGAAGCGTCATAACTTGGGAAGCGTTGCAAAAACCTTGTCGCTGCGAGTTCCCAACACAATCACATGATGACTCATGATAGAGCGCGGGAGAGGGCGGTGTTTGGGGTCGTGATGTAAAGTCTACGTTGTCGGAGTTGCAGGGGTATGTGTTGTGCGGAAAATGGGTGGGTACAAATATTGAAGGTGGGTACATCCGCATCAATGGTGGGTACAAATATTGATGTAGATGTTGTGGATTTAAGGTTGAGAATCTGAATTAGAATGTACTGAATCGTGTATAGGGTTATTACGGTTGAGCCCAATAATTAACCTGTCCCCAAGCGAGGGCGGGGTACATGAGATTTGAGTTCATATATTGATGCAGGTATTGAATAACTTGATGCCCACTGAGATTTTGATAGAAATATTGAGGCGGATGTTAAATAACTTAATTCTCAGTGAAATTTGGGCAGAAATAACGATGTGGGTGTTAAGGAACTCAGTATAGCGAGATTATTGCGGTAAAATATTGATGTGGGAACAAGCGTATATATAGAATAATAGGGCTTAAAAACTGCTATTTGTAATGTGAAGTCATATTAAATAGTGACACGTTACAGTGCCGTACATAATTTGTTTGGAAGATTATATGGCCATTTAATTGAGCACATCCTCTGAATTGGTAAAACCTCGCTTGGAGAATTGAGGCTGTCAAGAGTTGGGTCTCTCGTGAGGCCTCATGTGCATGGCTGTTATTGTTTTATTGTTTGGACATGGTTTCACCTTAATTGAGTTTTAAAACAAATCCGAATAATTGTTGTGGATCAATAAAAATCCGAGAGGTTTCTTAACGTAAATAGTGTAGTGGTATAAATAATAATAATAATAGTAATAACATGTCTGGTGTCGATCAGGCGTCTCATTCTATTCATTATAATTATATTCCAAGATTAGATTATCTGTAATAGAGACGCAATATTCACTAGACGCGGGAGAAATTGCTAGAATAGTACTAGACTCTGAGTCGGCATGGACAACATCACATGACAACATCACTTAAGCAGGACCGCACTTGTGGGCGAAAGTAGTAAGTCTGTAAGAGAGCCGGGCACCTTAATTAATAAGTCCCCATAGTAATTAGCACGACCACTGTGATGTAGCACTCTTTAAGAGTTACGTCGACCTGACGGTCGAAGCCACAGCCATACCTTCGTAATGAATTTGTTACTTAGAACCACCCCGTATCAAGATAAGTTTAATAAAGAGAAGTGTCTTTACTTATCCCTCACTCACAACTATACCCTGTTCTCAGGTCCGGGTAGAACATATATTATTAAGTAGGTTCCGCTCTATATTGCCTCCCGACCATTGTGCCTTCTGACAAATAAGTGATCGGGAATTTACCAAACCAGAAGCGAATAACAATTATTTTCTCTGAGTGAATTTTCAATGACTTCAATTTAAAGCCTGATTTTCACTTGATTTAATAACATAAGATTACATTAGTTTTAGTAGAACTTTTCAACTAGTTCACCTTTAAATAGTTTAGAACGAACAAAACATTGCTATATCTGAAAAAATTACCTATTTTACTCGTAAAAAGTTGAATAGCTTGCAAGCAATGATAAATTAATCGGTTATTGTGTGTTGAAAGAATTTCTATTATTAGCGAATAAAAACTGAGTAATTTTAAAGAACAGTGATAGAAAAATTATGATATTCAATTTAGATTTTGTATTTTCAACATAGCGCATAATAACTTCAAATTTACTTTAAAGTAAGGGCGAAGAAGATTGTAATTTTATCAATTTAATCTTAGCGTAATAATGTGCTAATGTAATGAACTAAATCAATTCCCTTAGCTAAGTGTTGCAGGTAATATTTCAGTGGAAAATTTTTTAGTCAGCCTTATGTATGGGAATTTTTAAAAAAAATTAATCAACCTAAAGTATAGGAATTATAAACAACTATACGAAAGAACCAAGCTGTATTCAACTAAAAAATCAATTGGAAATCGAAACAGCAGCTTGCGCTAATATGATATTACTACCAAATATGAATGTTTCGAAATAGATGTAGAGTTATTTTATTAGATTGCACGATCACGTCAACAAAGAAACTGGACGGTTTTCCTTAATAAATATGCTTATAATCCACTAATTAACTGGTCAGCACCTCTCATCAACTTTGATTCTAATTTTTCGAATTTTTATTGTATTATTCGTTCTAGGCATTTTCAAAGTAATGAATAAATAATAATAAATATTATTAGTAAATAATATAAAATTTAGGCAGTTCCAACTGGTGATACATCACAGTCTATAGGACCTTCCGAGCCAGTACCTTCCTAAATGAAAAAGAAAGTGACCGTTCGCCGCCAAATATTCGTTGAAAGAGACACCGGCTCCTCCTAACCTCCATCAGAAGAAAAACTTCATGGTTTACATAATTCATCTGATGCAATAGACGCAAAAGTACAGAGAGAAAAAGGTTCATAACTCTTTTAAACCATTGCAGAGAGAACCAAAGCTCCCTGATTACGGTCTTGTAGAATTTGACTCAACTGATCAAGAAGCATATCATGCAGGCTTAATAACAGCGCTAAAAGACGAAGTTGACGATTGTGAAATATCTTACCTGCGTCGAAGAGAAAAATCGAAACTTTTTTATTTCCTGCAGCAACTGATTTTGTCAGTTTGGGAAACTTTAATAGCACTTCTTAGCTACCCTATGAAATGCGGAAGAACATAAAGACATAACTCTATCCTGAAATTTGACAATAATTTTGATGATATCATGATTAGGTTAATTGTCCCAATGCGCCCCATGCGCATCGACTGTCCCATGCACAGTACCCGGAGTCGGAGTAAAGTGGGTCATTTTATTTGATTTTATATTTTTGTTATTTCTAGTCCATAGAACAATACTAATCCTTGCTTAGGTAGTTAGCAATGAAAACAAGGATATGATGCTTAGTTTTATTCAGCAATTTGTGTCTCAAAAAAGAGAAATAATCGTGATTCTTTTTATTTAATTTTTTTGTTTCATCGAACCCCCATCCCCTTCACCATGAATAGAAAATGAATACTCAATTCACTTTCCCTACACAAGAAAAATTTTGTCCAATCACAGTGAAAACACCAACTTTCTCACTCTTGGTCTATTTCCATTTTAATTACCCCTTTTTCAGCTAGGCCAAATTTTAAATATTTATTTCAGATTTTATCACATTAAAAATGACTTTCTTAAGTGTTAACCTAATTAAAGCTCGACTTAACGACTTAATGAGTACCAGCGAAGAGTGTGAAGTAGATGAGCTTGAGGCGAGCAGTGCGTAGGTCGCACCAGCGCCCCCCCAGCCCCAGGAACCTGGGGCGCTCGTGCCCCCCGGGGGGCGGTGACGACTCGGGCTCGCGAGTCTCCTGCAATGGAGAGGTCCCGGTAATTTTGGGGACTTCTTTATAATCCTATTCAAGTCCTAATCGTTTACATAACCTAATTTATGCGAAAATCATAAATAATACGAAGGTTGCTAGATGTTAAGGAATGTTGTGAGTTGAACAATATTTAAAAAGAGAGATCATGAGACTTGCAATAAATATAATTTATACCATGAACAAACATTCTGAACAGGACTCGAAGACCATTCGTTCATTGTGCTAATTCAGCGCCAACAAACACGTAACGTCATCAAATGGTCTGCATTCATTGTACCTTGAATTTAGATTTTAATGATGCACAATTAGTCTCTGTATCGTAATTATAGTTATTCAGAGCGCGATCGCCGCCGTGTCTGCGGCCATATGCGGGGCACGTATGCAGAGCGGCTGCGATACCTGCCAGCAAAATACGTAAATAATTGAATGATTCAGATGTGAATTATGAAGATATTACCTTCCCGATTTAATGAATCAGTAAGTAAAATGAAGATATCGTGCGTCATGAATCCCGCGTAATGGTAAATCAAGAGACAATAATCAATACAATTGTTATGAAAAGTACTGTATGTCTGATGCATCTAATAAAAAAAGAGGTAAAAAACAACATTATCAATTCAATACTTTTATTTAGACAAGGGTATGGCCAATCATAAGAGAATAATGAGTGCGATATAAATAATAATTTATAATAGTTGATTGAAAAAACATTTTTTAAAACTCACAATGTATAATAAATTCCCAGCTGAATGAGAAACCTCACGTACCCTCCTCGAAATTTCCGACTATTTTATAATGCGCGTAAGAATGACATAAGAGTACTTTCGCGTATATAGCCTCTCGTAACCGGTAGATATTTAATAAACATCTTAGATAAGAATAGCATTAAAATCAATTCTCTGTAAGCCCTTATTTAGGTGATATAGCATATAAAAGGTTTACATGTATCAATGACGGAGTAGAATTTGAGGTAGGTTCTACTTAGACAGAGCCACTGTAAATGTAAAGCGATGCCATCGCATCGCTTTACACCTGTTCCTAGGTGCAAAGCGAACAATACATGTTCGCTTCCTGCAACACCTGTTCCTAGTCCTACACAGCGCATGTATTTCAGAAACCACACACACGTATTTCTGCCGCCTGCATAACCTATACGGAGTGTTCCTGCAACACCTGTTCCTAGAACTACACAGCGCATGTATTTCAGAAGACGCGCAAACGTATTTCTGCCGCCTGCATCACCTACGGAGTCGGAGTGTGATCGTCTAAGCTCAGCACAGTTTCTATCTAATGATTAGGAGATTAGATGCAAGGTCAAGCGTGACCATGCGCTTTTCTCGGCCTTATCACTGCACGAAACTTTGAAAAACCTCAGATTAATCTCGAATCTAAAAATTTACTAATTTACTAATGCCATCACTTTACAGCGTTAAGCTCTAATTAACACTGCATGCACTTTAAAATTCCTTCAGCGGTAGCTATTGACAACCAACAGCCCTCGCGCTTATTTTTAATGAGAACTTAGCCAAGTTTGCTCCGTTAAGATGACTCTTTATGAGAATTCAGTCGCGTTTACTCTCTTGCAGTCATTTGAAAGAAAACTTATATATAACTACGTTTACTTCGTTGCGGTTGTACTCAATGAGAATTTAACAACGGTTCCTTCCCTGTAATTTTTCTTTAAGAGAACCCAGCCAAGTTCAGCTAAGTTAACGAGTAATGTGAAAGCTTACGCTACATGACAACGTTCTCTACTAGAACTTGATCAAAGGCTCACGGGAGCATTTCTCTAGAAAATTTGTGCAGAATGCGAGGAACGTCAGGTTAATTGATGCGCCAGCACGAAGTTGCTTTGGAACAAAGAACAGTCCGTGAGGATGACGCGGTTGACTGACGTGCGATGTGATCATCACATCCCTCGAACTAGAATACAAACGTGGTTGAAAATAATCAGAGATAATCTATACAATTGGACTGGTATATATATTATGAAGAAACATGAGCGGCTGGATTTTTACGAAAATTAATACTTTGTTGGAGTATTTCGCTTAAGTATCAATAATTTGGCCAATGTTAAGTTCATAACATGTGTAGACCGCAAACGTTCTTCGTGAAATTGGAGTTTGTGTCGCTTCTGTCTTTTTTTTGAGAATAATATTATTTGCGTGAGGAGAGAACATCACAATGAGTAATGGGCGGCGGCACTCACAACCAACAAAATGTTTAAGAGATAACTATAGAACCGGCTTTCCTTACCCAAAACGATGACATGTTAAGTATTATTTTTTGTACACGATATTTAAATTTAGCTTATTCCTTTATTTAAAGCAACCGCTTATGCCAAATAATTAATACGTTAATTACTATTGTAACAGAACAATACTAATGGTATTCTTATGCAACTTATTATCATCAGTGAATAAATTTTCGATTATCATCAATGAGTAAATTTTCGATGGGTCAATATAATCTTAAAATTATTTTGAATCAATACAAATAAAATCAAAATTCTTTAATAAAAATTAGAGATTTAATTTCTCTCTATTCATCTATAAACTTATAGCTTATTTACGCTAACATGCCAAAAGTTAATAAGTTTGATATATTTTATTTTGTTTTGCCTGAGTTGCCCGGACATAACCCGCTCAACATAGAACCTTTCCTGTCAAAAAGCAAAGTCATTATGGCGCTCATTCCAAATAAATTACTTCCTGATTTCTGTGCTCGAATTTTGACCGTCAACAATTTTCCGATTAAAATCCAGACAGGTTTCAATTGTGACCATTGTCAACAAGCACCTATGACATTTGAACTGAAAAGCAACGTAAATTCGGGAGATTCACCAAGAATATTTCTTCGTTAAACCTTTTCACATCGGAATTCCGCCTTTTTTACTTAACTTCCTAACTCGGAATGATTCGTTCACACCTTACATTCATTATAGGTCAATACTGATATTGGTTTTATTATTAACAGAGCTGGTAACAGTAAGTATTATGGCTATGATTTAATTATTTATTAACAGAATAACAGTATTAATTAATTATAGTATACGTAATTAATCAATACAGTATATTTAACAGTATACAGTAACTATACAGTAATAATACAGTAACTTTATTACAGTATACAGTATATTTAACAGTAAGTAGCTCTATGAGTTATTGCTACTACATATGTTAATTCATGAGCCATTATAGCGAAGGAAACAGAGTGAGCATTTCACAGCCGCCGCTTGAATGGTTAATTCGTTCATCAGCTGTCAATACGAGAGCCGCTTCCCTAGGCAGTTTAATTATGCCAAATCACGGTCATGGCAGCGTCAATAATCCAATCGGGAGCTCCATCAGTGCCGGATTTGATCGTTAATTGCCGTATCAAAACTTCATTTTATTTAATAATGTGACATTCAATTTTATAAATTTTGAATATATTGAAATTGAGTTGGTGACATCATCAGTTTATATAAATGGCCACAAATATTCGCTTGAATTTGTTGAAATTATTTGAATTTATAGAAGTTCAATGTATCATTCGTATTGAGTAATATTAAATAATCTTTCACGTGAAATTAAATTAGGAATCTTTTAAGTGCAGCCCAAATTACCATTCCCATGACTAAAATCGTAAATAAATACCACAAAGTGGCTTAGGATAAAACTAATTGATAAACGGCTAGATCCGATACCATTTTGCTTGCTTTAACCATCATCGGTTTGCTCAATTTACTATTACTCTTTCCAGCCATCATTTGGTTACTAGAAGTCTCTTCTGCATGTATGTATTTAAATGCTCATTGTGATGTGGAAATAGTTATATAGAATACTGGAATTGATTACATAGATAGATTATTCCATATTTTCGTCGATTTATTTAACTTGACTTTTCACAACTCTGCGTTGTCTGTACAACAACTCTGAGTCTGCATTCATCAGCATGGCAGATCCATATTCATATCCACACCCCGTATGCTCCGCTACCCTCAAGCCCCAGGACTACTCAGGAATTCTTTAGCTCCGCTTTGCGTCCCCGAACGCAGCTCTGTATGCCACAGCTCTTCTAAAGTTTTATATCTGAGTCGTTAGATATTGCTACAATTTTATAAACAGCTCGATACCCTAGAGAGGAGCTATGTTACACAGCAGTTGATTGTACTTGCAAGGCTCTGGAGCATTTCGGGTATTGCTCCTAATGATGGACATAAGAGAAGCAACCAAGTACATGTCATTAATGGAATTTACTTAAATTGCCGAGCCAAAGATTATCGTTTCCTAAGATTATCGCGAGGCCGTTGAATTTCCTAATCGATAATCTTCAAAATCTTTCAATCTGAAAATTATAATCTCCGAAGTTTTCCAGTATCATCATCGAGAAACAAATTTCATTGAAGCGCTTGCGAAACAAACAAGATTCGCGCGACCTTAGCCACAACGATGTTCTCAAGTAGCGATGAAAAGCCATTCACTTAGCAGCGATTGCTTCCGTGCGATGCATGCTCAACGGGAGCCGGTCTGCTGATCGTAAGTTATAAGACGATCGTGGGTTGCATGGCGATCGTAGACTACGATTTTATGTCCGTTATTTTTACCTCACGCACAAAAACTAAATTTATCAATGATTACTAATATACGAAACTTGTTAATATCATTTAGGCTCCTACTCAAAAATATTGATTCGATATCAATTCTTCGGCCAACGACAGTCGTACGCTGAAATATTTCATGCCAATGCCAGATTTGGAATAGGAATTTGCGTTAATCCTGAGCTATGTGGTTGCGGTGATTGTTATCCAGTCTCTGACTCGTGATCTTTAGGAAGATCAGACGCAATGCTGCCTTTAGAAAAATACCAACTGTTTCTGTCCTTTGTATATCATTGCCTGACGAAGAATGTGAAAAAAGTAACTTCGAATTGCCGACATAGTTAAAAAGTTTATTTTAGGGGAACTTATTCATTTTATTGTAGGCAAACTAAATCTTTCCCTCAACTCCATTCAATAATGTTGTCTAGTAATACTCGAAACTAATAATCTATTCAAAATACTTATAGTAGTAAAATTTGCAAAAACAACCAAAGTTTGCATTGATTAACTCGTACATATTTCCAGTATAGATTTGGATGGGTACCGGGGATTCGATGGGCGTGGACCGTTTTTTTTTCGTCATTTTTGTCAGCCATTATGTTCTTAAGCAAATATTCTCAAAAAGTTTCCCGCATTTCGAATGGCTCTGAAATTTGTGAAATCCTACAATTCAATTAGACTTCGATCGTTCAGTCTTCTTCCGTAACAACCGAAGCTCTCAACTTCCTGGCAGTCTCTGCGTCTCGGCAGCAGCAGGAACACTTCATTTTTGGCATTCGCAAGAACGCATGACACTAACGTAAACATGTGGTTGTCCCATGAGTGAACGGAGGTAGAGAGAAAAAGAGACATGAAACGAAAAAATTACACAAGATCGAGGAAACAAAGGGCACTCAAAGAAATAAAGTGGGGTCATTAGAAAAAAAAGTCATAAGGATCGGAGAGAGCGGCCACCGCAGGTGAAACTATAACAGTGCCAGAAACAAGTGTCACTACGGGAAGTTGTGGGAGGAGTCTGAGCTCAGAAAGTGGACAACTCGCATTAAATTCGACGACAGGTCAACCACTTATGCTGGGGATAATTTTTTACAGTAGTAGAAGCTTACCTCGCTGTTGCGCATAGCTGTCTCTTCAAATCCTTCGTTAGCTCCCAATTTAATACTTAGAACAGCCACGAGCTATTTTCTGGAAGTTTGACAATACTAACCACCCTACATGGCGGCTGTAGCGACACTGCCGAACCCGCGAGAAGTCCAGCAGGTGTGCGAGGTGTCTCTCTGTGGTTACTTTTGGCATAAGCGAAGTTTATTCCAAAAGGGGGATCACACTGTCAAATTCTTCAGACACCCTATAAGGCTTTAAAAACTTTTGGCACTCACAATACAATATCTGTTTAGCCAGGTTCTACGTAGTTTGAAAATTCAATAGATATCTTTAATTCAAACGATTCAGTTCTGAGGATCCATCACAATACTGATCAATTAAATATCCAAAATAATCTTCTTGGTATCTAGTCCGACAAACGAATCCTGCTTTAACTTGACTTCCTTGATGCTCTAAGCTCGGTGTCCAATTACATTCTACGTCCATTTGCTCACAAATGATGGCGAAAATTATGCGATCGATCGCGATTATGGCGAGGTGTTTGTGGGCAATCAAAGTTTTTGCAGAAGCCACTTTCACTCAAGTATCCTCCACCAGATCTCGGCTGCCAACTCATCTCGTTGCAATGATTTCATTGGTCTGGCCTGTCCCAAACATGTGGAAACAATTGGATTTCCTGCAGAAACAAATAACAAATCAGCGCAAGACTTCCAGGAAATACTATTACCGAGTATTTTTTCAACTTTTATTTCTTAGTTCTGGGTATACAGTTTTAATTGAGCTTAGAGGTTAGTACTTAGTATCAGTATACTAAAAATAACAATTTAGATTCATACGAGCCTTGATGAAGAAAAAAGTTGAAGTTGAACCATTACAAATTAAACAGCAACATCAGCCTCAGTACTCAAGGTCATCCTGAATCATTAAAAATTACGAATAAAAAAAATTAGTCACTTATACAATACGATTGCACGTTTTTCCTTTAAGCCTCACTGGTTAAACCAATAATATAATAATTAAAACAATTAGAGAAGTAACGCAAAAATTTGCCAGGGTTGGAATTCAAGTTGCTGCACGAATCCTTCGACTGATGCAGTTGAAAGTTTTTTTTCCCTGGCAAGTGCAGAATTCAGGTTCAAAACTTTTTAGAACAATAATTATTGTGTCAAGGAATGACGCATGAAATGGCAATATAATTTGAAATTCCCTAAAATCATCAAACGAATTGCATACTTATTTGTCTTATTTGAGAAGCCTCCTAGCAGGAGCTCACTGATGAGAACTTTAAATAAAATAATGGAAAAAAGTTGAAGGAGAATCCGCCCTCATACGAACGTCGGAGTATCCGCTTTAACGTAGCGTAGCAAGAACGTTATGTTAAAGAAATGCTACAGCCGTAAGTTGGGATACATTCAGGTTTCAAACGTTGATTAAAATATACAGCACACAACTTAACGCGAGTGATTTATTAGTTAGATAAACAAAGGTCTTATTTTTCTTAGTAATGTGGAAATATCGACACAAGAATTATAAAAGATAACGAGGTCTCATACGTGGCTTAACGTAACTAATAATTAAAGAATATATAAAAAAACTCAAATCAGGAATCTATAATAAACATTCGAATGAGCTCACGTAGAAAATACTCGCAAACTTGAATTAAGGTAAAAAAATCAAGATAAATAGTATATACCAAAACGAGAGGTCGATGAAATGACAAAGTTAATAAGCTGATCCCACATAGCTCACGTCAAACGCTAGCGGCTGTTGATAAACAGTAGGAAGACGAATACAGGTTACAGGACCATCAATGCATGATAAATTCCAACTCAAATGCATCATAACAGGATGAGATGGCTAGTGGTATGAGACGAAAAACCTCAATGCTTTTGAATTTGACAGAATTGACCTCATTATATGTTTCTTCTTCTTCTTTCGATGTTTATTGGAGCTCTGGAAGCTCATCCATGTTGCCCCATGGCAGAGGGGTAGTAGGGTAAGGCAGAATGGCTGATGAGGATCCCAGTGTTTGCCAAGGTCCAGCCCCCCCAGCGAAATACACAAGTACATGGATTTTAAATGAGTTTAATTATATGCGAAGAGTGAAGGAATGAGGCCAAAGCTTCAACAATTCTCAGCTGCACTGGTCATTATATGTTTGAACACTTTGTCTACCTGAAAAAGTTACGGAGGGAATTGTTCAACGATTTCTACTTGTCGGATGGTGAGCCGATAATATACCGATCCGAAACTTTAGCAAATTTTCTTTACATTTTTTCTTGTCTGGAAAACTTTTGTTTGCACTTCAAGCCAAAGTTAGAGCAAGGAGGATTTTTAAGAAAATACCTACATGATTTTTTTGTAATTAGAGCTGGTGAAATTCAGATGCAGTTGAAATTTTTGAGTTAAATCCTTCAATTTAATTCAATTTATTTTTGCGACTCATCACTGGCTTAATCTATCACTTTAGAATTTAATTCAAAGAGTATACCAATTTGACTTGTTAAACTTAATTCCAATCATCAAGTTTTGGATTGCACGAGCTACGCGTCAGGTCCATAACCTAACATTCTGTTCTCCTTGTGGGATTACTCTTAAGGAAAATTCTCTTCGTGCCTGTCGTTGGTCTCAAACATCTCATGATATCTCCAGAAGCGCTGGCCGCGTGAGGTCCGCTGCCATCTGAGTGCTGAGTGCTGACCGGTGTTGCTCGGCAGTACGCAAGCAATAAGGATTAGGTTTTTCTCCCACGTACAGCAGAGTCAGTCATTCAGCGTCACCCTGCACCACAAAAGTTGTTATCCCGTTTCTCTCCATTATAATTTTGGTTTATCGATGCAGAAATAGTGAAACTACACTACCTGCAATGAGGGATCTGAGGATCGATCTTGTTGCGGCTATCGTGCGGTCACGAAAGAAGCCAAACCGGGACCAATGGTATTCTTGCCGAAGTGCAAGACAAATTCTCTCTTCGGGACCTTGAAGCAGACTCGCTAAAAATCTCGCCATTGAGAGATGCTTGTAAAACGGGGATCATTAACGGAGCATTGGCCACATGGAACTTGCCAGTTCTGCGTTAACCGAGGTGAGTTACGCTAACTGTTGTGCAGGGCTTAATTCGCCTGTCAATATGCCTGTTCAATCCTCTGGAGTGTAGCAGTTAACACTTGCGACAAGAAAAATTCCAAGGGAAATCTATCCTGCAACTCCATTATAAATTTGAACCGCAAATTTTTCATAAATGGCATTTTGACCTTCATGGCGCATCAAAAATTTTCCCATATAATTCCTAAGCAACTCTGACTATTATGGGCCGATTGGAAACCGTTTTTTCTGTTGATGTCATGCAAGTGATCTGGAGCTCTGGAGGCTCTTACGAGGGTCGCTATACCAGCTACCGCCGGCTCCCGGGAGGCAAAGTTTAGGTGACATTCTCTAGTGAAGAACTTAAAGGAATTTCACCTAATTTATCTAATGACACTCTCCATTTTTGTGCTTGATTTGCCAATCACCATTCTTTGTTTGAACTAGATCATCCAATCACCAAATTGAGCCACTAATTAACGGTCATCATTATACCTAATGGGTAATGGCGTCCTATGCCTAATTGGCTGTGCTCTCTGATCGAGCCCTCGCATCTGTGATAAATTAAATTGATTTTATAATATCTAAAAAGAATAAAGTAAAAAATCCCTCGTGTTATTTCCAGAAGATGTTTCAGGGCTCGATGTTACTCAAATGAAATAATAATAAGCAATTTGCAACAATTTAAAAGGAGAATTCAACAATAGTTTGAACCTATTTTTTTTGTAATATGTTCAAAGCATTATATGTTCACCACTCGTATATTTTTCTTAACAGGAAAACACAACTTATTTCGCGTGGATAGTTTTACGGCTTTAGACCCGGAAAGTTTATTCGAGTAACTTTATGGACTCGAATTACAATAAAGTTAACTGCTCTGAAGAAGCATCAGCTTCATTAGGCGAGTCTCATCTCGTTAAAGCTTTTGACCTGCCCTTGCTCTTGTTTGTCCTCAGGGAGGTTTTACTGTTTGAAGTGCCTGTCTGGTAAACTAATTACCATACATTAGCAGCAGCTTCTCCTTTTATAGGAACGCATTTGAATTCCAACAGGTTGATTAAACATTTTTATTTCACAAAGATGAGCGTGTTGAATTGGAAAGAATTGAAACGACAATTCATTCCAAAATATATTTCCAACTTGTAAATATTTATTACGCAAAATTTGTCCCTAAAAAATTCTCGCTGATTTTAGCTTTCGTTGAACTTTAATGACTCATTGAAACATTGTTGTGAAATTTAGAATGCATCTACTTGCTAATCAACACTCTGGTTACGATGTCAAGTGACCAAAGAGATATGAGATATGATCAAATATGCTGCCTTTAATTAACTTAAGCTCGTCCTATGAGGAATGCCTGCAAACATTACAACAATGCCTGCAAACTTCATACAACAGCATTTATTTACCAAGCCCTACAGCTGTTAAGGCCACGATCATACTGGGCTTCATAGGGCGGCTTATTTAAGGCTTGCAGTATGTTCAAGCCCTACAGCTGTTGAGGCCACGATCATACTGGGCTTCATAGGGCGGCTTATTTAAGGCCTACGGTGATTGATCCGGTCCGGCAATATTGCTGGTATTGGCGCAGCCGCCGCCTTCTATTGCATGGACCTTGAGCGCTCAGGCAGTACTGGAGGCTGGCGTCCAGCTCTACTCTTAAGAAACTTGTTGGCAGGCGTTTTATGTAAACAATGTTTACAGGCGTTCTATGTAAACAATGTTTGCAGGCGTTCTGTGTATACAATGTTTGCAGGCGTTCTATGTAAACAATGTTTACAGGCGTTCTTTGTAAACAATGTTTACAGGCATGCTATGTAAACAATGTTTGCGGGCGTTCTATGTAAATAATATTTACAGGCCCTTTATGTAAAAAGTGTTTGCCGGCGTTCTATGTAAACAATGTTTACAGGCATTCTATGTAAACAATGTTTACAAGGGTTCTATGTAAACAATGTTTACAGGTGCTCTATGTAAACAATTTTTACTAGCGTTCTATGTAGACAATACTCACCAGCGCAGCTCATAAA